GAGTTTTATGAGGTATAAATAACATAGCTAAGCAGAGCATTTGGCACACAATGTCTTATAGTAGCTGCTAGAAAGTAGATCATTAAAATATTTTAGATGCTAGATTTGTTTTTTGGCTTTTGACCTTTAAATGGACCATACATTCACAATGAACTCATTTTATATTTGGAAAAACATAAAATTCTTGCTTTCTGTGGTTTAGAATATCAATCTGAAGAGTACAGCTGGTATTTGGAGCAAGGAATTGATAGGCTTTCTTTAAGAGATGAACTGGGGGCTGGTAGGAGGAAATAGCTTAGAATTAGAAAACTTCATTCTTAATTTTGAATCATGACAATCAAAGCCATGGGATGACATCAAGATTCTGCAATATCTGTTAAAAATGACTCTCACAACAACATAACCTGGAATGAGAAATGAGCTAAAAATGTCAAAGGCTTCCATGTGAAGGGTCTTAATTGTGCTCTCTTTCATAGGTGGAGAACTGATTTCTAATTTGCATGTAGAGGGAAATTGGCCACATTTTCAGTATTACAAGCAGATTCCTAATGCCCAAAGGGAATTATGTTCTGTCTTCTATTGCCTGTGGGAAGCGTGTTGCTAAGAAACAGGATTCCTGATCCATTCTAAGGAAAAGCAGCTTGTCATTTATCAGAGCACAGACAATGAAATGCAGCAAAAGCAATGTGTTTTCACAAACTAAGGCTGTTAGTGGCCAGGGCATTTCTCGTTGGTTATCAGGCCCGTCTGATTGTGAGCCTGTGTGTTGGCTCCTGCGGCGCATACCACATGCAAACCATCTTTGAGTGGTTGGCAGCTCCGATAGAAAGAGCTGCAGAGTTTGAAGGCTGGAAGTAAATGCACAGCTGTGTTTCCATGAGAGCAGTGGGCCACGCCCTTCAGCAGTTATACCTTAAGGTCTGTCCACCATAACCTGTGAAGTAGATGTGTTATGTCCCTTCAGATGGAGGGAATGAGTTCATCAGAAACTTAACGAAAGTTACAAGGTTAGCAGTGCCAGTCTGATTAACCGGAAGCCTGCATTTTTCTGGGCCCAAACAGAGTATTTAACGCTTCACTTCCCAGGCATCCACCTCCACTGTCAGAGGCCAGACAAGAGCGGAGTCCGCTCACCGCTGCCAAGAGATGAGGCACATTCCACGGCATGCAGAACCAGGCCTCCATTTCTGGTCCTCTATTTTCTGAATAGGAGTTTCTTCATTTTATTTTTCTTTTTTAGATTTTAAAGGTACTGTATCCTCAGTCGAATAGGCCTCTTGCCAAAGATCTGGAAGGTACGGGAAGCAGGGGCGATGTTGCAGTCTGGCACCCTGGTGGGATCTCCAGAGTCACGACTTTGTAGCCATTCTATCTCCCTGCTTCCCACCTTTCCTGTTCACCTTTTCAACACTTACGTCCACTTTCTCCAGTACCATAGCTGGCTTCAAAAATAGCTGGTGGGAATCGATGCTGTACGCAGAAATAGCAAGATTCATTCTCTTAACGGGAATTAACTGAGGAGGTATTATGTGACAGGCAGCATTGCAGGCAATGAAGATTCAACAGCAGTGAAGGCAAGCCCCGTTCTGATGGAGCTTGTTCTCCCGTGGAAGGGAGACACACGGTGCTCTGTGGTTGGTTTCATATGCAGTGGGGACGGACGGAGAATGGGTGGGAATGGGTTTGTAGAAAGGGTGAATCACCGAAGGCTGTCTAGGGACCTCCCACTCAAATTGAGACCTAAAGGAGGGAGGAAGAAGCAAGCCAGGCAGCCTTGTGTAGGCTGGGAGTGGGCAGCAGAAGCAGTAGAAAGGCCCTGAGGTAGGTTCCAGTCTGCTGCTTCAGGAATGGGAAGAACATAGCTCAAGACGGGGGAAAGGCTGGCGGGCATTTTCAGGCTTTGCTGGTCACGTAGAAGAGAGTGGATTTTATCCTGGGTATGTCGGGGAGGCTGACCCAAAAGTGGCATGCTCTGTGTTATTGAAAGATAAGTCTGGCTACAGACTGAAGAACGCATTGCTGTGAATGGAAGCTGGAAACCTCAGGAGAGGCTCTTCCTGTGCCCCACACAGAAGATGAAGGCGATGGAGGCTAGGAATTCTGGGAAGAATGCAGGGCAGTGCAAGGGTACAGGCTGGCGCTCAGCAGGAATTCCTAAGGCTGCCTGGAGGAGGCATCAGAGATGCTAGACAGATGTCACTTTCTTTTTTTAAGATTTCTTTTTCTTTTATGTGTATGGGTGTTTGGCTGCATGCCTATCTGTGCACCACTTGCCAGAGGAGGCCAGAAGAGAGCATCACATCCCCTAGAACTGGAGTTCCAGACCGTCAGAAGCTGCCATGTGGATGTGGGGACCTGAACCTGAGCTGCCAGAGCAGCAAGTGTTCTTACCTGCTGAGACATCTCTCTAGCTCTAGATGACATTTTCTTAGCATTCTAAGATGTGCCTCTCCGGAGCACAGCAGCAGTGACCCAACCAGGGACACTAAAAGTTGAAGAATTAACAAGTTTCATTTAAATTATTTCTTAATTTAAATTATTTAATTATGTCTTTAAAAGAACAAATTTTGTGAATCATGAAGAAAAACAAAGACGCTTAAATAGGCGAGCCTTGTGTGTGGCTGTTGGTTCACATGGAGCACAGAAGTCAACCTCACAACAAAATGTGGGCCTGTTAGAGACTCCGGGGTGGGGGATGATGACATTCAGGCACCCATGGGTGGAATATGCTTCTTCCTGACACGACAACAGTGCTCCTGGAGCAGTCATGAGTGATGTCTGGTGGCTACCCAAGGGCACAGACGCTAAGGGTTACAAAAAGCAAAGTGTGGGCCGCTGATGGAAAAGGGAAGCAAGACTACAAAACAGCTGCAGGCATGTGCACTGAGAAACTGCGGTAAAGGGAGGGCTCAGAAGCTCCCCTCCCCAGGGTGAGTCCTTTCCAGTCAGCAGTCTGTCCCCTGTCCCCATTGAGCTATTATATCCACAAAATTAATTCTGTGTTAATTGCATAATCGTGTGCTATTAGTGTTATGGAATTAGTATATAAGGTACAGATCGAAGACGGAAGCGACCTTCCCAACAAGTCACCTGATAAAGATGGGCACCCACCCATGCACCACCCCACCACTGCCCAGGATCATGTGCCTGCTTCCTAGAACAAGAGCTTCCGGCTTCTGTCTGGGAGACAGTGGCTACACACCGTCTTTCCCACACCATCTGCAGTAAAGCAATAAGATGTACCATGACTGGGATAGCAGTGTGGACTTAGCATGAACGTTAGTAAATGGCCGGTGCCCCCACAACCTGGCAGTGACCGTTTAGGAGACTACTGTTGATTCTCCTACCTCAGCCGTCAGAGCAGCCTGGACCACGTGCTTCTTGGTCCTTCTGCTTTTTCTCAGCAAGTTATCAATGCCTGCACTCTCCTGCTGACCCCTGCCTCCCTTTTCTGGTGACTTAGCAGGGGTTCATTTCTATTGCTTACAAATGGAGAGCACGAGTCGAAACAGCTATCTCTTCTTCATTAGAATTCTGCTCTGAGTATAAACTATGTTTAAGCAGAAGGATGTGCGAGCAGAGTGCTGTGCTCTGAGTGTCTAATTCTAGCTGTGACTTCGGGGTAAGTGTGCCAGGCATCTGTGCATTTAGAAACGGTTGCACATCAGCTCTCGTGACATTCAAGGAGAGACTTTGTGTGGTGTAGCTGCTCATTTAAAGCAATGATGTTCTCGTGCTCCAAGCTGCCTTTATATCGGGTTTTAGAGCAACAGCGCTCTGTCTTATCCAGTTTCTTGAAGGTCCACATCCACCTTGCGCGGTCCTTTTTGGCTTTGAGTTCACTCACAACCCATTGTCATTCTGTCCCGCAAGTCTCTTTTAAGAGAATTTGTAATACCCTAGATTGGACTTAACAAGTACATTGAGAGGACCAGGCCATGTGGACATGGTTGTTAGGCAAGGCATGAATAGGGCCTGTCCCAGCGTCCAGTGGGGAAAGAGGAGCTTTTATTCTGAAAGGTGGGAGAAGAAAAGAGTGTTCAGTTCCTCTTCTGTCTGTCTGTCAAACGAGTCCCTCGACCAGGTAAATCTGTTACTTCCATGGTGCTGCCTTGGTTGAAATGAAGGATCTACATACAGTTACAAGAAGACAATCACAAGAAGTAGACAATAATGCCACCAAGGTGAAGAACAACTTGACTTGTAAGTGACGTGAAAGACAGGAGGAGTGGGAGGATAATTTACTTATGCAACCCCGTTCATGCGCAAGGGGTGATGGGGAGGCAGTGTGCACTGAACACATCATAAGCAAGGGCCTAGTGAAGTGTGAGCAGTGTTCTACATAGAAAGTAAGGTGTTGGGTGCGCTTGCCGAGACAGCACTGAGCCGCGAATGAAATACACTCTTGGAGAGCTATACTAGTCAACCTCTTGCACCTCAGCCACTTGTCTCAAACTTTTTAAATGACAGACAATTAGCAGGATCCCTGCTACCCTGACCAATCCCTTTACCGAGCATTTCCACTGTCAGCCCCTTCTCTGCACCCCTTACATTGAAGAACTAACTGATTGTGGGGGCAGATGATCTAGTCCACATTAGTCTGGCAGCTTTCCTAACAGCTATACTCTCCATCCACTGTGCCCTGAAGTGTGGACAGCTGATTTAGGCCTAGACCCCACAGGCACTCCAAGAGACCCGTGTCTCTTTGTTCTTGCTATCTGGGGTATCAAGGAATGGGGTGGCAGCTTCCTTTGGCTCCTCTGCAGGTGTGCCCAAAGGTCCAGATCCAGAAAATTGACAGCAGAATTCCATCAGAACGTAATTCGGTTCAAGCCATCAATAGGCATCATGAAGAAATCAAAGCAACATTTGATGGAAGGGAAGGGGTTAAAGGAATGGACCAGGAGCCCCTCAGAAGTGGTGTGACAGACTTGAGTCATGCTGGCCTTCGTTGGATTTAAAGCCCACTCAGGGAGGGGAGAGAGAGAGAGAGAGAGAGAGAGAGAGAGAGAGAGAGAGAGAGAGAGAGAGAGAGAGCGAGCCAGCCCATACCTGACATTGCTGAAATGCCAAGAGACCAGATAAACTATAGGCCCGAGGGCGAAACCTATTACTATTATTTAGCTGAAGGACATAACAATAAATGACCTGTAATGACATACTGCTATACCCATAGATGAGTACATCACTCAACCTGCATCAGGGAAGCTTCTTGTACTCGATGGGAATTAACACAGAGACTCACAACAGGACAATGTGCTGATGGTGAGGGACTCTGGCGGGCTCAGCCCTAAAAGGGATGTCTTCATCAAACCCCTCCCCTCAGGGCTCAGGGGTCTATAACAAAAGAGGAGGCAGAAAGATTCTAAAAGCCAGAGGTGGTAAGTAGATGACTCCATCCAGGGAAGCAGTATCTTCCAGACTCAAGAGGGCTGACGCACGTAAGAACTCACAGAGACCACCACCACAGCGCGCAGAAGACCAGCGTAAGCTTAACACAGACGGAGGGCCGGTAAGGAGGAAGGAAGGTGGACAGGAAGTCCCACCCCTAGCCGAGGAACCGTCAGCATTGGATTGCTGTGTGGAAAGGGAAAGTCAGCTTTCTCCAATGGTACCACACTCCCGAGCTACCCCATGCCCAGGTGTCGTTGGCTAACAAATGAAACTGGGTGAGTAAGGGAGGTGGGAAGGACCTGGGCGAGCGCGAGGGGGGTGGGGGTGGGGGGAGGTTACAGGACGGAAAAGAATATAAACAAAATAATATTATATGAAAATTCTGTTTTAATTAAAGAAATTTGTTTAAAAGAAACCGAGCCATGAGAGCCGGGCGGTGGTGGCGCACGCCTTTAATCCCAGCACTCGAGAGGCAGAGGCAGGCGGATCTCTGTGAGTTCGAGGCCAGCCTGGTCTATAGCGGTAGTTCCAGGACAGGAACCAAAAGCTACAGAGAAACCCTGTCTCAAAAATAAAAGAAAAGAAAAGAAAAGAAAAGAAAAGAAAAGAAAAGAAACCGAGCCATGAATGCTGTGTACGAGTTTCGAGGACAGCATGGTCCTGCAGCTGGTACAGCACGGGCGAAGGCCCCAAGGCTTGGCTTGGGTTTCCAGAAACAGTAGGCAGACCAGGGAGGATAGTAGAGTCTCTGGTCAGAGAGAGGCAGAAGAGAAAGGGCCGAGTGTGCTGAGCATAGACATGACCTGGTTACACACCATCGTCTTCCTTTGTTTATTCTCTCTACAAATAGGCATCTTTAAACAGGCTTAACACTTTAAAGCGCCCACTCACGACTTTTGGTGCTATCTTAACACTCTCTTATATGCGCGTGAACTGAACAAAGGTGGCAAAATGGCACCTTTGTAGCTAGAAAACCTAGGACCCCAGAAGAGACCTGGAAGGCTGGCTAGACCTCAGTCTGTGTATAATTCTGTGCTTAGATACTTCCAGTTCTAGGGGACTTACTGTTTCGTATAATTTTAAAAAAATTAAATTGTCCTAGCACCCAGGAGGTGGAAACCAGAGAATCAGGAGCTCAAGACCACCTTCTCCTACATAGTGAATTCAAGGCCTGCCTGGGCTATATGAGACCCTATCTCAAAAAAAGGTACTTAAATGTGACTCTAGAGAGAAACAGACGCACACAGAGAGATAATCTCTCCTCATCCTTTCTGTTATAAAGTAAAAATGAGTCCCGTTGGTGATTTATCTCAGTGTTAGAGTGCTTGCCTTGCATGCTCAAGGCCCTAGTACCACATATCAAGTAAGAAATAAACGAATAAAACATAAAACCCATGAGTCTCCTTAACATGGAGTCTCTCTCTGGAGCACTGCACTGTTGGGAGCAGCTTTATCAGCCCTGTACCTAAAGGGTGCAGGTATATGTCCCTTGGCTGTTGGGTCAGGATGGATTTAAGTGTTCATCAGAAACCACTTAGAAAGGGAAGCCTCATTCTATTTGTCTCCCAGGCTGTTGCCAAATGATACTAGAAGCCCTCAGAGCCCATCACCTGGCTTCTGCCAGAGCCCTGCAGATGGCCAGCCTGCGCGTGTCTGAACCTAACCGCTGCTGCATTCCACTCCCGCCCTCCATCTAGGTCAACAGACATAAATAGACACGAGGAGAGAGGGCGGTGGCCCAGTTCCAAATACCTATGCAAATATCAGCTCCATTCTGCCCTGGGATACTTAATTTGGAAGGACCACACACAGGGGTTCTAATTTCATCCCGTGGTGGCACACCCCTTTCTACTCTCTACCTAGTAAACCTGGCTTTGTCCTAATACTGACATTTTTATGTACTTAGGATTAGGATGCAACTATTTGTTGATGAACAAGACTGCTGAAAAATGGGCTTCTGAATAAAACTTGCATCTTATAGATCACCACAGAAAGTGTCTTTAATGTGGGAGAAGGAGGAGGTCTCAGAACACTCTAGACGAGACTCTAAAAAGTCGTTTAATCGGTGGCTGGGGGTAGTGGCTTAATCCCAGCACTTGAGAGACAAAGGCAGGTAGAGCTCTGATTTGAGGTTAGCCTGATCTACATAATAAGTTCTAGGCCAGTCAGGGCTACACAGGGATACCCTGTCTTTAAAACAAAGTGAAACAAAAACATTGATTGGAAATTGACCCTGCGTCCTAGGAAAGAATAAAAACATTAATCCAATAAAATGTTTTGTGTAGGGTTTGCTCCAACCTCTTGAGAGCTTTGCTTTTTACTTTTATAAGTGATACCCTTAACAGAGGTAGTTGCAGAGGGCATGAGTCTGCCACTTGGAACACCTCCAGTCATCCTGGGATCTTTCGTCTCAGCCTGCTACTACAGACTGAAAATTTGTGCGCCCCATCCATTTCTAAAATCCGTAATTTGAAACCTGGTCCTAGTGGGATGGTAAGAGTTGGGGCTTTGGGGAAGTGAGTGATGATAAGGGTAATCCACTGTGAACAGCATTAGTTCCCTTGTGAAACAGACCCAGAGGAAACTCCCCTGAGCCACCTATGAGGACACAGTAAAAAGGTGGTCGTCTATGAATTAAGTCATGGGCCCTCAGGACTTACCATTCTGCCAGTGCCTAGCCATCCAGCCTCCAGAACCCACAGGAAATAGACTTTGATTGCCCAGGCTACCTGCTCTATGGTATTTTTGTTAGCATAGACAGTGGACTAAGACATTTGATGTTGCAAGTGCTTGAACGTAACATCTTTTGCTCTGATGTGTTTTCTTAGAAAATTCAATGGCCACAGCTCTTTGTCAGGGAGAGAAAACTATCATACACAGATGATATTGTTTTTGGTCATTTGGATTTTATTAGGAAATTGAGGGCGCAGCTGAACTCGGATTTTCAGCAAGCATTAGCCACTGTATACACGTGTGTTTTCCTTTTCTGTAACTCAGTGAGCTCCCTTCAACTTTCGTCAATGCCCTCGTCCCATTACAGGAAACCAAACTTCATATATACACATACATATATACACGGCAGCCACGTTTCTTTCTTCAGAAAATGAGCACTTTCTCTTCTTCAGCATTTCCAAGAATCCTTGGGCTTATTGGAGTATTTGCAGCATCATTTGTTCTAAATAGTGTTTCTATTGTTCACTTAGTGGTCATCATGAGAAAGAAATAATATATCAGATAGACTCATATGTTTTAAAACCTATCCTGTACTTGTACTTAATAAACTATAAACATACAATGAAGGGGTAATAATCAATGAATTCTATCTGTGTGTGGGTATATTGTTTGGAAGTAATTGTTCCCCTTTTAAAGGGGATTATCATAGACATAGACACATGCATGTGTGTGCATGGTTGTGTTTATCTCTGTGCACGTGTGTGTGCACGTGTGTGTGCTTGTGTGTGTGTGTGTGTGTGTGTGTGTGTGTGTGTGTGTATAGAATGAGGGCCCTTTCAATCCTATCAGATATGGCCACCGTTGAAATCCTGGTGTACTTTCTCACACTTTGATGGTGGAAACTTCACAGCCAACCACTCTCTGGATAAGGCAGACAGTCTGTGAAAATTGTGTTTTCAGCCTTCAACTCATAGAAATGACACTCTACAGATAGGTGGGTGTGGTTTATTTAAAGAGAGTCTTCGGATTCTGGAGCAAGTGGCCACATTGACATTCCTCCGATTTTCAAGGTATATGTGTAGCCCTCATCTATTAAAGTAACCTTGACCCTACCCCATTGAACTTTGGGGTTTAAAGATATGTCTGAAAGTAGACGCAATAATGATTTCTCAGTTATTTGAATGACGGACTTTTTGCTTGTTTGTTTTTTTGCCATGTGTCTTGCTTGATCAGGGAGATTTTCCGAACTGCATACTTATTGCAGTTTCTTACTTCTTTGCTTTCACTAATGGCCTGCAAATATCCCGAGACCCCTTTTCTTCTGAAGAAAGGCGGTTAAGCTGTAAAGTCTGTGGCTAAAGTTCCCTTGCCCTGAAGCCGAAGTTCAAGGGGCCTCAGCCGTTTGGAAGATGCCCCATGCATGTTTCTGAGCACAGGCTCCAATGTCCTAGACTAACTAGAGAAGCACACACACTTGCTTTTCCCCTCCTCTTCAGGCAGGTTCTGCACCAGGTCTCAGGTGCATGGACAGATCTGTGGAGGAAGAATAGACTTGAGCTTAGGGAAGTACTGGCTGCCCGCAGAGGGACGGCAGCATAAGGGTTTTGCCCAGCAGGCAAAGCAGAAAATCTTTTTATTCTTTCTCTGAACAGAAAGGTTCTCTTGACCATACATGTTTCAGCTTTGAGCTTTATGAATTTTACAAAAATTATATTGGAAGGTTCTTAAAGTTAACATTTTGGGTCTCCATAGAAAGATCATAACACAAAATCAATTTAATATCACTTCAGTTTAGCTGAAGTGCTGCCTCCAGGACTGTTCCAGGGACAGACCTGCCTGTGGAATGAGGGAATGAAGAGAGGACAGACACACAGATACAGATGAGCTGGAATCAGGTCGTCTGGCCTCTCTGATGGAGAAGCCTCAACACCTGGGAAGTTCAGCATTTACTGTGTACAGTTGAACAGGAAGATGAGGTTATTGCATGCAGGTAAACGAGGAGCCAAGGGTTATAGTTGTCAGGGTTTCTGTTGCTGTCGTAAAACACCATGACCAAAAGCAACTTGGGACTGGAGGAAAGGATTTATTTCACTCAAGGTTCCCTAGCAGTTCATTATCAAACAGGAGAAGGCAGGAAGTCACACAGGGCAGGACCTGGAGGCAGGAGCTGAGGCAGAGGCCTTGGAGGGGTGCTGCTTACTGGCTTACTCAACATACTTCCTTTAGAATTCAGGACCTCCAGCCCAGGATGACAACACCCACAACTGACTGAGTCCTCTCCTATGAATCTTTAATTTTAAAAAATTCTCCACAGGCTTGTGTACAGCGATCTTATGGCGACATTTCCTTAAATGAGGTTCCTTCCTCTCTGATGACTTTAGTTTGTGTCAAGTAGCCATAAGACTCTCCAGCACAAGGTTATACAGCTGAATCAAGGAGGCGGGCTCGGTTTATCTCAGTAAGAACAGTCTCTTTACAGGGGCTCTCTTAATGCTGTAAGTATCTGGGGATGGGATGGGGGAGGAGAGAACACTATGGTAGACATTTTCTACACATACTGTCAACATCTGTACACAGACCAGAGGAAGACTTTGCCCTCCCT